AACGGGGGGGGGGTTGTTTTTGGGGAAAGTGAAAGTGTCTCCAACTGTCGCTGTTCTCTTCTCATTTGTACAACGGTTCTGCTGCTGTTGCTGCTTGAGAATTCAAACGACACAAGGATTCTCTCTTTTCTTTTCCTTTCCTTGATTGCCCTTACTCTCAGCTGGACACTGCACACTGAATGACCATTCAATTACGTTCAATCCTGCAAAACGTTTTCATACTGTCTCTTCTACTTTCTCTTTCCCTTCCAGTCGATTGTCTCACTTAATTGCCGCCTTCAATCGAAGATTGCTCGGGCGAGTCGCTGTTTGGTGTTTGGTGTTTGGTCTGCTGTCAATTGGCCTGCTGTTTCTCCTGCTGCTATTTCTTCTTCAGCCTCTGTCCTGTCATTTGTCGCCATTGAAGCTCTGGTACAGTTTAGCATTGACTACTGCTTACTGACANGAAAGTCAGAAGTGCTTGTTCAAGAGTTGGCCTTTTGGGACAGTGTTTGCCTGCCTGGCTTTTCTATCTTCCTATTTTCTTCTCTCAAACTCTTTTTGTCAAGTTGGCCGCCGCTGCCGCTGCAAAGTTTGCTTACGCAAGCAGCTTTTTTCCTATCTTTTCCGTTCTTCTATTCTCTCTGGCAAAAGAGAAAACAAATTGGGTTTGGATTTTGGCGTAGCATTTTTCTGGTTGTCTTTTGAGCTTTATTTTTCTACGATAGGTCAATGAAAGGAAGAGAAAGAGAAGCATGAAAGCGACAGCTCCAATCACACTCTCATTAACTGGCCGCGTGAAAGAGAGAATCTGGCGGGAGTACAAAAGAGAAGACACACTGCTTGGGGCGATTGGCTTCACTTTGGCTGTTCACACAGAAGAGAGAGATAGAGAAAATGTGATTCGGTGCTTATTTGGTTGCAGCAGCAGCTGTGACCGAGTCCGCTGCCTGAAAAGAAAAATGCTGCCCCTTTCCTTTTCTCCTTCCCCTCTCATTCACTTGCCAATTAAGTGTGCAAATTGCCCATTAGCTGCACGGTGCAATATTTGATGGTTGATAATGGCACTGCTGCTGCTGCAGTGTGCTGTATGCGGTGAGTTGAAAGTAAATAGAAAAGGAAAGAAAAGGAGAAAAAAGAGGGAAATTCTGCTGTCAACTCATTCAGGCTCATGCAGTCTAACGATTCAATCGAGCAAATGAGCTTTGATGGCCGCCGCTGCTGCTGCTGCTTTGGCAGAGATGAAATTGTGTGCAGCACTACTTGCCCACTCCTTTAATGAGTGAGTCCCTAGCACACTAACTGCAAACTGCAGCTGCAATGCTTCACTTTCTCTTTCTCTTTCTCCCGATGGCCACTGGCCACACAGTTTTGCAGAGTGCACACACACACAGCTTTCTCTTATCACCCAGACGAGCTCATTTACTTTCTAGACTGTCCTCTCATTTATCGCTTGTTAGATAGACACTGGAGGCATTGGAGGCACTGGAAGTGCTGGTGCACTGCGACACTATCTCTCTGTGTCAACTTCGACCCCCGCTGAAGCGTGTGCCCACTGAAGACATTAATTAACAATTAGACAAATGGTGCTCACTAGTGCTGCTGGTTTGACTTTCCTGTTTGACTAAGACTTGCTGCTGCTGTTGCAGCTGTTGTGTTGGTTTTTGGGCTCTCTGTGACCAACACAACACGACAGCAGAATGTTTCGTGCGTGTGTGGTTCTCTCTGTCGGCAGCCTGTGGTATGTGCTGTTCCGAGTTCAGTGTTGAACAGCAATTCATTTGCGGTCAGAGTGTTAGTGTCAGTGTTAGTGTGTGTGTGTGCTGGTGCTAGTGTTGGAAGTGAGAGTGTGTCCGGTTAATTATGAGTGTTAATAATTTAGAGCCAGTCTGTCAGTGGTTGTGGTTGTGGTGACCAACTGCACCGCCGTCAAATTCCACCGCTGCTGCTGCTGCAGTGTGCTTTTCAATTTGTGATAATAATTATTTGGCCTACCCTGCTCACAACTCTGTCGCTTTCCGCAACCGTTTCAGGGTTTTCAATTTAGCCTTTTACATTTGCGGAGCGTTGTGCTGGAAAAAACTCAAGGACGTTCAGTACTGCACTACTAGTTCCCGTTACGAGTCGGGTGGTCCGGCAAATGTGTGCTCAGAAGTAGTAGGAAAGAAGGAAGAAACGAGCAATTTACCCGAGAGAGCAAAAGTTGATTGCGAGTCAAATGAAAACGAAGTGTAGAGGTAGTAGTGTTCCAGGTAGTTTTGGGGTTCGCATTTGCGGGTGCGAGTTCCTCACAGAAACTCGACAGAAAGACACTTGCTTAGTTAGTTTCGCTCGACCTGCTTGACGAGCCACCCAGCCAAGCACACATACACACACAGTCACAGTCAGTCACACAGTCAGCTTTGCTCAGATAGTCTGCAAACAAGTGCACACTATTAATTAGAGTGGTGGCCTTGCCGCTGTTTGCACCGTTTCACTGCGACCGCAACGGTAACGAGCAGTGCTGGTCGAAAAGCTAGCCCAAAAGTAACCAAGTCTTGTGTTTGCCTCACTTTG